CAGGGGGGAGCGGCGCCGCGGGGTCCAAGGGGTCCCCGAGCGCCACCCCGAAGCCCCCACGCTCGAAGCCTCCGTCCCGTCCCCCTGTCGGGCTAGAGAGCGCCTCGGTAGAGGGAGTCTCCGCGACGAGCCCTTGCCCGTTCCCTCCCGTGCTCCCCCCACCGGGCTGCAATGGTGCAGCCCCACGGGGGCGGGTCAGGACCAACCGCCGCGGGACGGAAACGGAGTGGGCCGGAAACGGAGTGGGCCGCCAGGGTGGTCGCTTTACCGGGTGGGCTGGGAGGGGCGCCGCGGCGGGAATTGGTGGGAACGGCTCTCGGGCCCTTGTCCTCCCGGAAGAGGGCGGGAAGGGCGAGTCCAGAAGGGTTAGGGGTGGACGCTGGGGCTCGGACGCTGAAGCTGGGGTTTCCGGCGAGCGCTCAGGGGAGGACCCCCAAGTGGAGGGGGCAGCGGACCGGCGCCGCCTGCTCACCGTGCAGCCCCTCTGTCTGTGTCTTCCTGCCGAATCCAGTCGGAAGGATTCATGGACAGTGCAACTGGATTGAAGGCTTAGGGCGCGGATGCCTCTCTCTCAGCCTCAGTTTCTCCGTCTGAAAGACATGCGTGACGGCCTGCCGGGAATGTTCATCCATTTAACAAATATGTACAGCGTACCTACGTGCAGTCCTAGCTGCCGGGGACATGGCGACGAAGAAATAGACAAAGTCCTTTCCCCCATGGGAGTGATTTGGCAGGTGAGGATGAAGGCGTGAGGCAACGTGAAAATAGTACTTCCCTCCTGGGATTGATGTGAACGTTGAATGAGGTCATACACAGGAGAGAACTAGAACAGCGTCTGGCACATGCGGATCGGTCAGTAATGTTGAACTCTACCCAGGGTCTTGCTGCTCCCAGCTTCTATCTCCAGCCGCCGTGGTCCTCGCCTGTTAGAACCCTGACCAAGGTCAAGTGCCACTCCCAACTCCTTCTCTGGCTGTGTGACCTCTGATCCAGGTTGTCTTGGAAAGATTTAATGAGCGAATTATGTTGAGCACCTAACACAGGGCTGGGAGAAGAGTGTACCTCCCATAAATGTAGATTTCTTTCTGTGGCTCCCAGGGCCTTCAGAACAAAAGCCCAAACCTTAGCATGACCTGCCCCTGCCTGGTCCCTTGGCTTTCCTCTTGCCTCTTCTCTCGATGCCCCAGCCACACGACCACTGCATTTTCATGACAGACGTCACCCACTTTCTTGCCCCTGGGCCTTTGCACATGCTGTTTCTACCCTCTGCTGCTGCCTGATTCCTGCCCATACTCCAAGAATCAGCTCTGATGTAAGGAAAACTTTCTGCTTTAGTGGAAGACTATGCTTTGTTCATAGCACATCTCTTATTCATGTGCTAGGGCTGTCCTCACTAATTACCACAAACAGTGGCTTAAACTACTGGAATTTATTGTTTCAGAGTTCTGGAGGCTAGAAGTCTGAAATCAAGGTGTCAGCAGGATTGGTTCCTTCTGAAGTCTGGGAGGGAGAATCTGTTCCAGCCTCTCACCTAGTCTCTGGGGGTTCGCTGGCAGTCCTTGGTGTTCCTTGTCTTGTAGAAGCATCACCTGGATCTCTGTCTCCATCGTCATATGGTGTTCTCGGTGTATGTGTGTGTGTCTATGTCTGTGTCCAAATTTCCCCATTTTGTAAGTCATGTTGGATTAGTGGCCCACCCTGTTCCAGTAGAACCTCATCTTAACTAATTACAGCTGCAACAACCCTATTTCCACATAAAGTCACATTCTGAGGTTTGAGGGGTTAGGATGCCAACATATGAGTTTTGGATGGAGCACAATTCAACTCAAAAATGCTGACCAGAATTATCTGATTTAATACCAAAGTTGAGGGTTTGGATCCCTTTACAAGCCAGCTGCCTATATTCTATGGGATTTATTTTATAACTCTGTAAATTGTAGATAAGCTATAGCAGTGCAAAATCACTCTTCTCTACAGGCGTGCTAATAAATTCTGTGGTGGAGGGACTACCCTCAACACCTCAAATGTTTTGCCTCCATTTGCACATTCATTTCAGTATTCCTGATCTATTAATGTGTTCTTTGATTCTCCTTTGAACTAGTAACACCTCAGGGTTCCCTCCTTAATGAGTTTAGTCAGATCTTTCACACGTGTTCACTTTTAGATCTGTAAGAGAGTCATGATTTTCCCTTTTTTTCTCAAATTATCTTGTAACAGTACTATATTCAAGGACACCCTCTCTGAGCCCCTTGGGCTGGTTCAGGGCCGCCTATGGACTCCTCCATCGCTGCCCCAACCACTCTGGTTGTCACGGGTCAAGTGCCCCACTGACGTTCCCAGCACACCCAGCAAGCGGCCAGGCTCAGGGCTGAAGCTCAGAGGATGCTTTGTTGACCAGGCTCAGGGCTGAGAACTTCCCAGTGACCTGAAGAGAGAAGGGACACCCCCTCCTCTTTTGCCACTGAGAACAAAGAGGTCTCTGTTGCCCAGACGTTAGGAGGAATTAGTCATGATTTGTAGGCTTGGAATCCAGCTCGCCTGCGTGTGCCCTCACTCTTGCTCTCTATTTAGACACACACTTACCAACAGTAACACACAAGCACTCAGCCTCATGGAATTAAACATCCAGACAAAACCAGCCCAGCCAAAGACACAACAATACATCAACACACACCTTTATTCAACCACTCAACAACACAAAAGCACTCCATGCTTTGACAACAGCCCAGTCCATACCCAGCCGGTGTCACAATACACATCTAAATGCACAATGCAAAATGGAAGACACCTCCACCCCGCCACATGGTGGGACACACATCTGTATCCCAGACACACGATAACACAACACACACATATACAGTCAGGGGCACAAAAGCGCACCCAGGATCCAGCTCAACGGGACACACAATTACATACCAAGCACACACTACCAAATTTGGACACACAACAGCACAGCTATACACACAGACATGATCACTAATAATGCCTACTGACACACAGCAACACACAACTCCATCTGCCCTGCAGAGAGACAGCTGCACGATAACACAATAGCACACTCCATCATCCAGCAAGGGAAAAAAAACACATGAGACTATAGAACTCACGTTGCTACACTTGGTGGCAGCCATTGACATAAAATGGCACAGCTACATACACACACACACACACACTCTCCACACACATTAACAACTAACAATAACCCAGCCACACTCCCAGACAAACTCTCACTCAGATACATTTGCGTGAACACCATAGCAAACACACACAGACCCAGGCAACACCACAGGGACACACCCAACAGAGATACTGCAGTCCAGTTACACGACACACAGAATCTGCCACTCACAGCTGCACAGTGGCCCTCGCCTAGGCCTGGGGACATGCAGTAAACAGACATAGTCCCTGCTTCCTGGGACTCACATTCTGGTTGAGGAAATGGACCTGGGCAAACATAAATATGTATTCTGCAAGGTCATCCTGAGAGCTGGAGAGAAAGGTAGTGCCAGGGGCAGGGAACAGGGAGGGGGAGTTTTGTAAATAAATCAGGGAAGGCAGCGATGTTATTGATAAGGGCAACCAGCTCTTGTCAATAGCACCGACTTCTGGCCCTAAGAGACAGGAATTCTTTACAGATAGGCAGACTGAGGCACTGGCCTGAGGGTACACAGAGCATGGATTTGAACCCGACTGTCTGGCACTGGAGCCTATGCTCTGATCCACCTTCCTGTGGGCAAGACGGAGAAAGGTGGAGGCAGGTGGAGTTGGGCTTGGGGGGTGTCAGGGACCCCAAATGTTCCAAGGAGTGAAGGAGGCCTAGACTTCCAAGAGGCCGGGAAGCCCAGCCTCTGCTTCATCCCTGCCCCAGGAAAGATGTTGCTGTGATCTGTGCCCAGCTGGTGCCCCTGGAGAGCAATGGGCAGACCCCTTCATGCATTTCAATGTCTTCAACACCTGGGTGCAGCTGAGGTTGGCAATGGAGCCCCTTCCGTCCATCTGTCTGTTTCTCTGTAGAAGTGTCTCATTGTGATTTTAATTTGCATTTTCCTAAAGACTAACGATGTGGAGCATCTTTCCATGTGTTTATTTGCCATCATATATCTTCTTCGATGGCATGTCGATTTGTTCAAATCTTTTGCCCATTTTTTATTGGGTTGTTCGTCTTATTAACTTGAGTTAATAAGAGTTCTTTACATATTCTAGAAGCAAGTCCTTTGTCAGATGTATGTTTTGCAAATACTTTCCCAGTCTGTAGCTTGCCTTTTCATTTCTGTAACAGTGTCTTTTGAACATCAAAAGACTTTTATTTTGATGAAGTCAGATTTATTTTTTCTTTAATTGTACTTCATGCTTTTTGTGTCATATTTGAGATATCTACGTCAGAGGTATGGTCATTAAGTCTTTCTTCTAAGGTTTTTTATAGAAGTTTTGTAGTTTGGGCCGGCCTGGTGGCGCACTGGATAGTGCGCCGCTTGGGAAGCGCGGCAGCGCTCCCACCCGAGGGTTCGGATCCCGCATACGGACCGGCTCTGCACAGAACCCAGTTTTTCTCAGAAAGCACTTTGCTTAAGAGAAAGAGAGGGGGCGGGGGGCAGGATGAGGAAGTGGTTAACATGGCTGTGCTTATGCTAAGTTGATTGTGAGGTCTAATAGGTTCTAGCCGTGGCTCTAATACTAATTGCTTGGCAAATCCGTACCTCTCTATGCATCTTGTTTTTTTCTTTTTCTTTCTTTCTTTTTTTTTTCCCCATGTGAAAAATTAAGTTGAAGTGGATGATCTCTATTTAAATGCAATAAAATAAAATAAAATAAAAAAGTCAACCTGGCTTTGTCCTCACAGAAAATAAATTTAATGAATACTATTTTAAGTAATAAATGAACGAAGAAAC